AATTTTAGAGTGACAAGTATTGTTCATTAACATTAAACTCTTTTACATATAAAAATAATTCTTGAATAGACACCAAAGTTCACTGTCTTATATAAGTAACAAGAACTTTTTACTTAAAACTTAATTTTAATTGCATTGGTACTTTACATATTGTATTTTGGCAATACAGCTTTACCTATGACATGTAGCATATAGTATATATTAATAACACGTTATTAGAGAAGTGTGTGTATCTGTGTGTGTGTGTGTGTGTGTGTGTGTGTATTTGTGTTACGCCTGAATTACCCAAGTTTTCTTAAATGATGTGTATAATTGGTCAGTCAGCCAAACCTTATGTATTTATTTTGGCCCTACAATGTGTGGTAATACTTTTCAGTTTGTGGATATCTGATACATTAAGATTTATTTCACAAGTATTCATTATGAATGTGCATATAGTCATTTTTCAACTGACTCCTTCCAAATACTTGCAGTCAAATATTGGCTAGGACATCCCATATCAAGTTGACAATTTCCTCTAAGCTTTCTATATTACTTGCTAGTTAATGTCTATAATGAAACCTATATATACTGTATATGTTCAATATGACTACTGAATATCTTTAGAAGAAAGTAACATACACTTAGTATTCATCATAGAATAATTCCATATTTTTCTTTTATAGTCTCCAGTGAATTGGTAATGTTTGTTTAATGCTTGTGTTCTTGGAAATTGCTAAAGCATGAGGTCTGTTTGATTTTTTAGCAGACCAATTTTGTTGCTCACAATTGAATCCAGAAAGGCACTTCTATCCATCTTTTATTGTTAATGCCAGTGAGCAATACTTCTGTGCAACAAAAATGCTGTCACTTGATTTCAGTGTGAATCAGTAGTCTAAATTCTCCTTATATCATTGATTAAAATATACATGGTAAGAGAGTACTCAGTGTATTTAGATTAGAATTTTTAAAATGAAATGACCAACAGCTGAAATTGTGAAATATATTCTTCTACAAAGGAGATTTCTTTCCCTTTTATATTTTGATGATTGTTTCCTTATATGAAGTTTAAGGTTTGTTCTTTTATAAAATTATTTAATTCATGTTTCCTTCTTTGTATTTTCCCCCTACAACTAAATATATTGATTAAGGTATCTGATTTACATGAAATTTGGCACTTTAGGGTGTTGGGTTTTCTCACAAAGTATATTTAATAAAAATGCTCCATATGTAGAAATGTGTCAGTATTTCATTTAAAGAAAAATACAGTCTTGAAAATTAGTCTGGTATAAGCTTATTTTTCAGAAATGAAAAGAGAATTCCTAAGTAAACTACTAAAATAAAAAAAAAACTTTTATGAGATCGTTTACTTGGTGGTGAGGGTAGTTCTTTTTGTCATTACATATGAAGAATTTTACTAAATTTTACCAACTGTGTGATTACTACAAATTTAGTTTGTATTAAAATAATCTGACTGAATCAACCAATTCACTAACATAAACTTATTGTCTACTGTGATCCAATGACATTAGACACTGGAGATTCAGCAATGAAAAATGCAGACATAGTCTCTTAATCTTATATTCTAGTGGAGAGATAGAATTGATAATCAAACGGGAATTTTAGGTAATGATAATACAATAGAACTAAAGCAGGGAAATGTGATAGAGACTGACTGGGAAACTGAGGTAAAGATTAATTTGGGTGGTTAGGGAAGGTCTCTGTAAGGATGTTTTATAAGGACAATCAGTGTTCAACAGACCAAACAAATGCAAAGAATGCAGGAAGACACTGGGAGGCATTATATAAAAGAAACATGTAGGGCCAGGGATTTAGCTCAGTGAGCCTGTCCCAAGTTTGATCCCTGGTACCAAAAAAAAAAAAAAAAAAAAAAAAAAAAAAAAAAAAAAGATAAAAGAAACAAGTAAAGGTGGCCTTAGGGAAAGAAGAGAGTCTGAAGATGTAGTGAGGGCCTATCCTACTTGTAAGACTAAGGGCTGAGGATTTAGCTCTCTGGTGACACACGTGCGCAAGGTCCTGAGTTTGATGTCTGGTACCAGGAAAAAAAAATTCCTACTTCTACTTGTTAAGAGCTAAATCTGGATTTTATGGCTTCTCTGACAGGTTGTGACTGTTCTTCTCTTTTTGTGCTTGTGATCTGGATGAGTTTGAGTAATGTGCTCCTTCTGAATCTTGCACACTGTTGTACATAACACTACCACTGATCTCCATGTCATTGGTCTCATGTTATATATGCAGAATAAACTGACACAGCATGCCAATCTCTGCTAGATAAAGAGTTCACTAGAGAGGCAAGAAAAGAGGATATTCTGCATCCGAAATGACCCCAAAACTTTTGAAGAATAGTGCAGTTACAATACTGGCTTACTTTGAAGCAGATATAGCTTAAAAATAATTTGTACGGGCCAGGGATTTAGCTCAGTGGTTCCACCACCTGCCTTGCAAGCCAAGGACCCGAGTTCAATCCCCGGTACCGAAAAAACAAACAAACAAACAAATCACAAACAAACAAAAAAACCCCCAACTTTGTAATGTCTCCTAGGATTATATACTAAAGTAAGTTGGAATTACCTCAACTCTTAAGAAATTAATCAAGTCCCCATGAGAGTCCTCTGGATAAAGAATCATCTAAGCCCAGATAATTGAAAAAACTTCTGTCTCTATATAGTGTCTGTCTCTCTCTCTAGAAATAGTCCATGTATGTAACCATATGTGTGTGTGTGCGTGTGCGTGTGTGTGTGTATGGGCTGTATGTGTGTGTATTATATACATATAATATATATATATGGGCCATCTGAGTCTCCAACAACAGTCAGGGTTAGAGTTGTACTGCAGCTGACTATAGACATTTGCTGAACTACAGAGTGCATAAGCACATACACATACACACTGTGTTCACTGGCTGCAGATTTACAATGAATAATTTTGACATTCCATCAAATATACAAACTTGGAGCTGTAGTAAACATTACAAACTGGAGGACATTTGCCTAGAGACAAGACAGAAAAAAACTAAAAGGATTCAATAATCAACTGTTGTCAAGTAAATAGAAAATGTTTGAAAAGATGGGCAATCTTGGCAACTGCTAAGGCCTTCTTTGAATAATGAGAGTTATATTTAGGAAATTTGAGAGTTAAAGTGTAGCTAGGGATAGGAACTGAATACATAAACCAGAATGGGATAGGAAATATTCCCCTCAAATATAAGATACTCTAAAGTAAATTATATATTGCCTTAAAAATCTAAAGCCTAAAGGGCATGCTTTTAGCTCAGTGGTACCACGCCGGCCTGGCAAGCACAAGGTCCTGAGTTCGATTCCCAGTATCAAAAAACCCAAACAACAACAACAACAAAACAAACAAAAAACTAAAGCCTTAAAAGGCACAATTCAGATTTTTTTCTATAGTGGATTCTGGGGGAAGCAATAAGAAATACTCAGGGAGGGGGCCGGGGATTTGGCTCAGTGGTTCCACACTGCCTCCTAAGGGCTCGAGTTCTATCCCAGGGGGAAAAACAATTACTCAGGAACTGTAATTTTTATTTTCCCTCCTAACTTTTTAAAGACGGAAGACAAGATAAATCTGCTTTAAAGGTTTGATTTGAAAATACACGATTTAAGGCTGTAGCACTTATTGAGCCTCACTAAAAACTGATGCAATTTTTTAAATCAAATACGATAAAGGATGGTGATGAAGAGTTAAGCCCTAAAAATGTGCTTATCCAATGGTTACATGCCGGCACCTTTGAATTACATGCGACTAAATATGACATCAAGAATATTAGGCCAATTTCAGATTACAAATGAATTCTAACAAAATATGGCCCTTGGAAATAAGGGTTGCTGCCCAGTATACTTACAGACAAACGCCTAAGTCTGGCGGTGCGGCGGGACTCTCTCTTCTCTGTTGTGGGCAGAGTGCACCAGAATGAAATACTTGAACAGTTCCACAAGGGGTTTCGGCGAAACGTTGAATCGTCAGAGGCTCCATTAGCATACTGCTGAATATCTGCTAAAAATGCAGCAGAACACGGCGGGGAAATACCCTCTACACCTGGGTGTGGAGACAAACCGGGGCCCGGGAACCCAGCTTCGCTCTACCGCGGGAAGCCTCGCGGGTACCGACTCGCCAGGAGTAGGAGGCGGGGCGTCCTTCCAGCGCGCCCCGTCAGAGCTCCCGCCCACCGAGCCCGCCCCGGCCGTAGGCCCCGCCCCGGTGTCGTCGTAACCGCGGAGATGAGGATGACGTGAGAGAGTCGCGAACATCTATCTCCTCTGGGCACAGCTGGGCCGGCGGTCCCCACAGTCCCAGAGCCCGACG